TAATAGTTTCTCCGGCTTTAATGTCTATAGCAGCTGTTAGATATCTATTTATTTAAGACATATATTTATTATTCTTATCTCAAAATTTATATATATATTTTATAAATATAGATACCGTCCCAATTCATTGTCTTGTTCGATTTTACACTTTTTATCGAATTCATCCATATTTCTTCTGCCCGTTAAATATATTTCCTTTCCACCTTTCAACTTATTATTTTTAGTTGATATATTTCACCGATTTACTTATTTGTGTACTGAAAACTAATTATTTTTAAAATAGACTGCTAAACAGAACTTCACCAAATCGCAATATTAAGACACTGACGATCCGAAAACGCAGGCAGGCGACAGCAACGACATTTTCAAAAATGCAAAGCGTTTCATTTTCTGGCCAATTATTTTTGCTACCCTGTCGCTATATTTCTGCTCTTCATTAGACAGTATTTCGTTTTTGTAGCGAAAACAATCACTAAGGCATTGTTAATTTCATTGTAATAATGTTTTTCGCAGTAATACAATGTATTGGCCGAGAACGAATTAGTGTACTACTGCATTATGTGTTAAATGGTCTTAGTATTATTCCCTCAGAGTACAACCTTAAAATTAGACTATAGTACAGAACTTACCTCAGAGTGGAGCCAATCACTGTGACTAAAGTATATTTGCAATACTATAACTGACCTTAAACGAGTATAAGACATTCAGCCTTGTTAAAAACTCAAGTATGTACCTGACTAAAGAGTTTCTAGCATTAGCGTCCTCCTCAAAAGTAACGTACTCTTCAATTGTACAATTTTTCTTTCAATATGGAATTCCTTAGTAAAGCAAAATGGTTGGTTGTAGATCAAATGATCCCTGGAACAACAACAGGTTGGTTGTAAAGAAAATATATAGGCGATTGTAAAACAAACAAGCAACCTAAGCAAGGGCTTACTTGCCCAAAAACCCATTGGCTGTGCACATGCTGTTGGCTGTACAATAAGTGATTGGTTGTAATGCAAACTATCAGTTTTATATCCAGTAGTTGGTCGTACAATTTATTAAAGATTAATAAGTTATAGAACAACTCACTATTAGGTGCCCCAGAACAGTACCAATATAATTTTCAAGCACTTATTATAATCCGCAAATTTTTAGTAATAATTAAGAAACGTTTGAATCGTTTATCTCATTGCATTGATTCTTAAGATTTGCTTTTAGACTCATTGTATTACTCGGAGGTTCATTCATACTCATATATGGTAAATCTCGAAAGTTTCAGAACCATGCAAGCTCTTAATGAAGCCAAACATGCAAGATGAGCTATAGTCATTGAAGATATTCCATCCATGCCACAGGTTAAGAGAATGTAGTGCAATGTGTCTGTATCCTGCTACGATTACAACCATACCAATCGTATTCTATCAAATTCGGCCTTAATCCTTTGCTGTTGCTAATATCAACCTATTGGGTCAATGGTAATAAAAGAAAGGTTGGATTGTGCTCGCCAAGTAATGAAAAATAATATCGATAAGGTAAGGCTCAATTACTTAAGAAACCTAACCAAAGTATGTGAATGCGTAAGATTCTGAAATGTTTCGTATATGTATATCAATATCATTGAATTAGAATTTATTAGATTTGCTCTTAATATATGCACTTATACTTATGTTAATAAAATCATATTGGAAGCAACAAATAAACAGTAACAGCTTTTATTTGAATTGGTAACCATTTATAATTCTTCTTCGAAATAACTTACTTACTTGGATAATACAGGAGAGAGTTGTCATTTACTGCGTCCATTAGCTTCCTTCAAGCAGCTCAGTCAATGCCTTACTGGCTGCAGGCAGTGGTAACACAATTACGTACATGGTCTTTTCACCGAAGATTCGGACATCTTCCACAACAATTTCTATTGCATTTCCATTCTTTTGTGCGATATAACCAATCCAAAGAAGCCGCTGAATTTTAATATTTTTCACTATATCGAGATGACGGTATAGCACATACAGCGATGAGCTATCGATTCATATAAATCAAGACTATAGATCTTTGAAAGAATTTTTCTCTTAATCCCTTTTCATTACTGTTGGTTATTGTCCAAATTTCTGACCCATAGGCATGATAAGCGTAATTTTTGCTTGTCAAAAAGACACCTCCTATATTTATTATTTCAAGGTATAAATGAAGCCGAAAATAGTCAAAAGCATATAATTTATATTTAATTAAATTAAATTAATTCAAAATAAAAAATATAAAGAAATTAGAATAAAAAAAATATTATTGTTTAAATTTTAATGTGAAAGTGAAATTTAATTATCTTCTCAACCATTTGAAGTCCTCGCAAATTATTTTAATGGTAACGCTATAGAGTTCCTTGCGGATATAATTTTATTCGAAGTGATCATATATCGTAGTATAAAAGAAAATCAAAACCACAGCACTGCGAGCACTGCTATATATATTGAATATTGCTAGACTTAGCGTGATTTATGAAACTATTAGCGTCTGAATAATGCTAAACAATAGTCTATCATCACGTCTGTTGCACAGAGGTTCCCAACTAAAAATCTTCACAAATCTTCTGTAAAGATTCACAAATCATTTGCTAAAATAATTGCCACATATTTAATAGTGCTTTAGATTAAAATAAAATAAATCAAATTGATCACAAGTTCCATCGAATAAGGATTAATTTATCAATTAAGGAGTTTATGGGAGGATTACCCATATATCTCATTTAGGTATTCTCGTTTATCACTGCAGTTCATATTAAATTATATACATACATATGCATAGAAGATCATATTTTTTATTTAGGAATAAGACTTATAACTGCAGCGATAGTAAAAAGATAAAAAATCGGAAAGAAAATAAAAATCCTTAAACAGCATCTTCAAATAAAAAGATAATCTTTCATAAAATATTTATAATGGTAAAATGGTTTTGTAATATGAAATATAGAAATTAGTTAAAAACTAAAATAATAAGTCAGTAGGTTACGTTAAGCTGAGAGCACACGTGCTAGTACAACTGTCAGTACTTCCACTCGGTATTCACGAACTGCAGGTTTGCTAAAGCCTAAAATGCTTTTCGTTTTTTTCCTGTTTAATCTTGGCTATCATAGTCTTATCAACATCGTAGTCTCCGAGATTGGATGAGTAAAATATAAAATCATTTTTCAACAAATTTTATTCTATCATAGAGAACAAACCTATTAGAGATTATTGTTAGAAAGGCTCAGAAAAAGATTAGGAACCGCTGGTATTGTTTAATTGTACAAATGCCAAGTGCACTGCTTGGTATGCAGAAGAACCACATACACCCAAAGAAAACCGCACGTACGATTGTTAGATTCCAACAATTTAAAATTAGATTTAATTTTAAAAGATTATCTCTAATTTAATCTTCATCTGCGATATGATTACAGTGCATGTCGAGATATGAAATCTTTCTTAAAAAAATAAATTCTAATGTTTATCTTATTTATTTTTAATGTTCTTTAAAAATATTTATTTAGTGCAATATATATGTATGCTCAGTGTACACTTATTTTTACTCTGCTGTATTCAATATATATATGCGGTATTTATATATATATGTGTGTTTTGTAAACTTTGAAAGCAGAAACAATTTATATATTTAAATAAAATGCATTAATTGCTATTTAATTAAAAATAATAAAAATTTTAAAAAAATCTATAAAGTTATTTTTGAAACAACTGTTGCAGTTGTGTATGATTTAATATTTAAATATATATAGATAGGTTGATATTAAGATTTGTTATTTAATAAGATTTTGTTACTTGCTAGTATATTTTAGATAAAATCCATAGGTAAAGACCAAAATGACCACGACACTGCTATAGATTCATTATTTAAATTGATTTTAGGACTATTAAGAACCTCATCGTCAAAGAAGCACTACAGAATTCTGAAAACTTTCCGCAACTGCAATTGATTACATTTTAAGATTACATAAAAATTATGAAAGAAGTCACAGACATCGATAAATATTAATCATATTATCCCAACTATAAATTATGAATATATATGTTACATTAGTCCCTGATCACCAAAATTACAGTGTTGTGCTAAGACACAGCAAAATTTACATAGTCGGAGTATATTGTATTTCTGGACATTCTTAACCAGTAATTTCATAGCAGTATTTGTACTTTCATGACTAGCCAAGATGTCAATAAAGCACTCATTATCAATAAATTAATAATTAAGAGATTGAACTTATATTAGATATAGCTACCAGACAACACATGACATAGCACACATCAGTTCCGCAAAGCATAATGATAATAAATATGAGAATATCTATATCCTCTTCTAATTATCGTATCAGGCAGAAAATTATTACAATCATAGAGAACGATTAATATTCAAAAATAATATCCCATTTCATAGATGGGATTTAAACAACAATTCTGGATTAAGTCTATACCTTTAAAGGACGGCTACCTAATTGATTCTGTATCTAAATCCTTTAATACTAAATATAGAACTTAATTGACTTTTTTTAGAGCTTTGATTTACCTTCTTTTACAAATTACAAATTTACAAATTTAACTTTTGCACCTTACTTACTTAATGGCCGTTACAAATGTGAGTCGTTCTTGGCCGCGTCGAGTAGCCCTCCCAGTCAGCCTGATTAGTTGTTTGCTGTCGCCAGTTGGTAGTACCGAGCGCCCACTAATCGTTGGTCACTTGATCCTTCCACCGAAGATGTGGACGTCCGCTACCTCATTTTCCACCTGCGGGTACCGAATCAAACATCTTTTTAGGCGGAACACTTTCTCCGCACGATTTTTGCACCAGATTTTTTAATTTTTTATAACTCTCGCATTTAGTAAGTATTCACTGGATTCGAAATCAATTCATGTGCGTATTGCTTGCTGATCACAAACGCATATAAAATAAAAAAACTGATTGAACACAACACAATTAATTTTTTTATTTTTATTTTTTATTGAAAATTGACAAAGATATTATCTACACTCATATCAGTATTAAATGCGATTAAACATTCTCAAAACACATTCATATTTTTATAATAAATATTATATAAGGTATTAGTAATTTTTATCATTTTTATGGGTGCTAACTATTATTAATATCGTTCCTACAACACTTAAACCTCCATTTTTGGATAGATGACAGCAACCTATTTTGGAAGTACTTAGGAAACTTCACAAAAAAACACCGTCTTCTACTTCGAACTATTTACTTGAGCTTTCACTGTTTTTTTTAAACTTAGCAGTTGTTGGAGCAATACACCTTCCTGGGTATTCGGTAGTTCGTAAGCCAAATTTTTACAAACTTCTTCCATTATGTTTAAAATTTTATATGCATTTTTCTGAAATTAATAATTATTAGATTTAGTTATAAAAATCTTCCAAACAAAAAACATATAATAAATATATCACCTTATCAGCTATGCTATCCTTGGGTATATAATTTCGATCTAACTGTATGAAACTTGAAAGGTAATCATGCAATTCGAAAGCATATAGCTTCGATATACCAGGCGAGACTAAACGTACAAGAGGCAAGATTTCTTCGTGTAATTGAATTTTACGTTCTTTAAGTTCTTCAGCTTTTTTATGAAATAAAATTTCATTTAAAATCATTAGAATATTGTGCTTTATACGAATCAATAGAAAATGATTAGTGTGCAATATCTTAGAGTATTTTTGTAACAGAGATTCCAATGTTACCATATCACCAGTTGCTCCATTTATTTCATCTTCAATATTACTTTTTAAAGCAGCTATATCAGATATGGAGGAATTTGCACCGCATAATTCACACTTCCATAGAGTGTCTCCTAGTGCAAAAGTCATGTATCCCTCTTCACAACTTGTACACTTGATCGCATTAATATACGTATTGAGCTCTGTTGGATCCCTGCATCTTTCACAGGTACAAAAAAGTCGTTTACTGTGGTAAAAAAGTTGGCGCTCATGTGTATCCTGAAATATATTTATTTTTGAAACTGCTTAAAAAATCATTTTGAAAAAACAATCATTTTGAAAAATTTAGACAAAATAATATTTTATTGTAATTATAAAGAAAGAATTCCTAACATTTAATATAGATAAGTAAATCATACACCTTCTTATACAGTGATTTTCTTTTTTAACATAAGCCTAGTACTTATATCCATTTCGCGGGATAAATCAATTCGCCATACAAAAAAAATGTTTACCTGCCCAAATTTTGTGAAACATGGATGTTATGTTAACTAAAAAAGAATGTAGGCTTTAAAAATATAGTTTTTTTTACACTGTCTATATTAGGGCTGTCCAAAGCACGGCCCACAGGCCTCATGCAGCCCGAGACATTTTTCTAATCTACCACAATTTTCTTAATTGTACTTTTTCTTTGTAATTTTTTAGTAACATCACATTATTTTATTTTTATGGTATCCCAAAATATATGAATTAAAATGTTTTAAATAATTTATTACACTTTACGGTAATTTACTTAATTGAGAAAGACTTTTATATATATTTTTAATACAATA